TGTCTGATTAAGAGTAAATACCAAACATGAGGGTCGACCTGCTGTGTTCTGCACAACATCTGGAGCGGGTCAACATCTGTGTCCAGGTTGCCAACTTCGCTAAACAAAAGCTGGCAGCCTTGAGCACAGAGCTAATAGAGAATGATAGGAAGGGGGTAGATGATGATGATGAAGGCCTGCGGAGAGGTGAACAGAAGATCTGGGAGACTCACAAGATGTTCGTGCCTGTTAACAAACAGTCGTTCAGATGGAGGTTTGACTACGACTGATACATGAAAAAAGATGATAATTTGAAGGTCTATTCAACTGTTTTCGTCCATAATACAATTATATACCATTAACTTTCATTGAATGGACAAAAAAGTAATTGTATCAAAAATATTTTTGCATTATTGCATACAGCTTAGGAACAACATGAGGGTAAATAATATATTTTTTTGTGCACACTGTGCCTTTAAGAATCCTTTTACTGTTCAGTTGAATGAAAAATGTATGGACTCCACTAATGCAAGCGAATCATGAGACGTGAAAGCATTTACCAAGTGATGGCTTTTTAACAATCAGAAGTGGCACAGCAAAGGCAACATATCAAATTCCATCTTCAAACCACTTTCTATAGAGCCTCACAGTGGCTGCGAGCTGTTCATTCAAAGGTGGCATCTGGGGATGAAATTACCTTATGTGGGTTGTCATGAAAAGAAAGAAGCAGTATTTTCCGTCCTTTAAATTAAAACCTATTAATGGAAGTGCTGCAGAGAACACAAAGGATTTCAAATTAATATCAACTGAATAGGCTGAGGTTTGCATGCAGTGATCATAACACTTCCGCAGTCCTGCGTTGCAGAGTTGATAAGTGTCTGTCAAAAACGGTCATATAGAAAATGTATTTTGGGGTGTGGCATTTGGGGCAAGATGCCTGATGGTTCCTGGAAGTAGATATCGATCTTGTTTCAAGGTTTTTGATACTGTGCTTAGCCAGAGAACAGCTTCTCTACATTCATTAATCATTCAGAGATGCTTGTTGTGTTTACAGTCCAAATCTAGCACATTTTTGCAAGAGGCTGTTCAATTTAGATGCTTTAAAGATAATAGTGCCTAACTGCCAATATGTGACTGCTTCAGTGCTTTAAATTACTATGCATAATGTATCTCGAAACGGCACTTGCGTGGTTTTTGGACTGGATTTCAACATCGATCAACGCTGTGCTATTTACGCATCAAATAAATTTGAATCTGCCGGTTTGTGGGTATGTTTAACAGCATATTATGAGGCTATTGTTGACGGTGAGACTATTAAACAATACTTCACTGCAAGATTGTTTGGCAAAGTATAATCAATAAAAACTAGCTAAATGACATAATTTTCAAGAAATATGACTTTCACTATGTTTGATGTAGACGTTAGACAAACAATGAAAACCCTTTCCTAAACCACATCCACAAAGAATGTCCACTGGACTACAATAACACTGCAGAAAATGTGCCTTGGAGTATTTCACCAATTCCACATTGAAATATGTGAATAACTAACGATATTTAAGTGTAAACTGCCCGAGCTAAATTTGGCCCAGTGGGCCGTAAGTAGCCCAGGGAAGTCGTAAGACACGTTGTTAGGGGTTTTGTTTGATCAAGCATAATTTCCAGGGCTCTTTAGGGAGCAATAAATAAACGGATAATGGAGCTTGATGCAAAAACGGTAAGGGCTTTGTAACTGGGCAAGCTAAGAATGATGGCTAACTGGAGGGTATGAGCATGGCAGCTTTGCAAGGCGCAAACAGAGTAAAGCCACTTGACAGGACGGCGAGCAGCTCTCAGAGTGAGGATCATCTGCCGAGTTCATTAAATCTGCCTGCAGGACAAAGTCATCTGTGCTCGTCAACAGCATTCTGCTCACAAGAGGTGACAAGTGTTCAGCAACCAGATGAATTCAGAGCAGTACATGCATGAAAACATGAATGCATAACCACTAGAAAACAGATGTGGAGATATAAATACACACGGGTGTATGTTGATATCTAGCCATGCAATCACAGAGGCTTAGCATCAGGCACGTGCACACATAGACATTAAAGGGGCTTGAGCACCTGCCCTTTTTCTTCCTCAAGAGAAAGTCCACTTTTTTTCAAATAAATGAATATATATATGTGTGCGTGTTACTGTTTGCGCACAGCTTTCCCTGTCAAACAAATAAAGTACTAAATATCAGGTCGGGTCAGGAAATGTTGAGACTCTGATCGGCACATCACAGTCACAGACAGAGAACCGCAGCGGCAGAAGTGAAGCCCTCCCTCTCTTTCCAGTTGTGTTTGTCTTGCTGTGGAGGTGAGTGGTGATGAACAAAAGACTAAGCTACCTGTGCCTCGAATTTACAGCTAATTATCCAAATGACAAAAGGCAAATATAGTCAATTTGTCTTACTAACATCCATGGCTGCGTTTACACTTGGCATTAACATGTGACCTGTATCCGGATGTTGTCCACATACACTTTGAAAAGACAAATGTAAATGCACTTCTGATCGGAATGTTATCCGATCAGCGTGTCCTGGTCCAGAGGTAGTCGAGGACGCATTGTGATCGGATCTCAGTGTAATGTAAACGCAATTCAGCCAAAAAAATGTAAATAAATATGAGAAGTGCCCTTTTCCCACTTGAGCCCCTGCCACTCAAAATGTCTGTGTACGTCCCTGCTTAGCATACTCTAGGACTCTTGATGTGCATAAAAAAACCTGAAGGCGGATTTGACTCAGGAACACACACTGACTCTGAATCCATGTCTACAGTTTTATTGATTTGTGTTTATAAAAACACATTGCCATTAGCAAAACAGGGATTTGTAAGATTGTCTGAACTAGGGATATAAAACATGCCGATATGAAAAGTCGATACGAAAAAAAAATAGAGATATACTGGTATTTATAGAGTATCCAGAGTACTGACTAAATCCAGTAACCAAGAGCTTTCTAAATAACTCTTGAGTGCTAAATGTTGTTATTGACTGCAGTAATATTGGTTTCGTGAGAACACTGACCTGAACTAAGCGTTTAATGAATTGGTTTAAAGAAAAATCTTGTATGCACGTATTTATTTATTTAACACATTTACATATATATATATTATAAATATCATTAGGTTTTAGACTTACTGACCTTGACATAATCATAACTGTCTTTTTTTATCTTTCCCCAAAATGAATTTTAATCCTGAAATTGAAAACATGCTCATCACAGAAGAGGTGTATCCAAAATACTATACATACAAATTGCTCTTTAATCAATCTTTGAATAAATTAATCGATAAAGAACAAAAAAATGAGTGGCATTTCATTGACTTGAATGTCACTGCAGGGGGTTGTCAGTTCTTGAAGAGTAATAATTATTAATTGTTTTGTATTAATGAATAATCTAGTTTCCTCATAATGTGGCATCATGTTCTCTTCTTCTCACCAGGTTACTGATTAAAACTTACTTGCTAATTAGCATGTACTAATTGCATCTACTTGTGACAGACTTGGCTGCATTACCATCCATGACTGACTAAAAATAGCATGCTCTCTCTCCCTTCCTCTGCACAGGTTGATGTCAAAGATGACTCGCGTACACAGCGGGCAAACTACACAGCAACTGTGGGAGCAGCCACAGATGCCCCAGTGACCCACCCCATCAAACCCCTGACCGAAGCGCACAAAGCATCTCCTGTCTCTGGACAGCAGGGGTTGATGGGAATAATGCAAAGCTTTTAACATAGGCCTACAGTTCTGTGCTAAGGTATACTTAAAAATATACTTGAACTTTACTTAAGTATACTTACTAAAATAAACTTTTAGTATACTACTTTTTGCTAAGGGAAGGCATTATCATAAGAAATCCTCTCAACGACGAAATGCTGGGCTACACGACACAAGCCAATGTTCTTCAAGATCTTCCTTTTCTCAGAAAAACACATACTGTAGTCCCATTTGATACTCAATTACAAGACAATTGACCATCAAAATAAAGTGAAACCATCTTTTTAAATTCTTTTTCTTTGGGTTGCTTACTAATTTTTAGTATCTAGCTTTTACGTAGCTGGCTTTCTACATTAGCTTACAGCTTAGCAAGCTAGTTTCAAATTTGCTTCCCTGACACGGCAGACAATGCCAACATAGACATTCAAACGTATGCACTCGAGAATGATGACAAATGTCAGCCTGCAGGAAGTATTCAAATGTTAGACTGTGTAATTATCACTTGAAAATAGATGTATAAAAACACTAAAACATCAAGATCCTTTGACTGAAGGCGTCTTTGATGTGCTAATATATGCACACACATACACACACACACACAGAGGTTGTGACTTCTAACACTACTATCTTTGCAAGCTCTTTTCAGTAGGGAATTGAATAGAGTATATCAGCATACTTTAATTCTACACATAATGCCTAATATAAAAAGCCTTTACTACCGACACTACTATGGCATTGAATGCATTGACTCTCCACAAAGAAATGCTCCTCTGAAAGATGCTTCAACACATTAGCAGGGCATTAAATGGTGGATAATGTACAATAAAGACCACAAGATCACAGAAGTGCAGGCACCTGAGTGTTTGTTGTAGGCCACATCTGTGCTAGAGGGCCAACCGTCACGCTGGCAAACATGAGAAAACCACGGCAGGGAAAAGGGGAAGCATTTAAATAAATAAAATAAATATCATTGGTTGCCGCAGGCTTGGTGGCACAGTTAAAGATTAATGCTATTCTTCTGCAAATATTGCTCAGAGGGACAACATGAGTCACTTTCTCAACAGTAAAGCATTCATGAAAGCAAAAGCCAGGGAAGACCCTAAGGCGAGGCCTCTGGGGGTGAGGTGGACAGCTCTGGATGAAAGACCAGCTGTCTATCAGAGGCAGTTCATGTGTTTTACTGGTAGCAGAGCACAATGGCTTTTGAAAAAGAGAAATTGAAATGTTCCTCTTTCGGAAGTGTCTCTATGTATGTGCGAGTGTAGTTTGCTCACCTGAGTAGGCCCAGTAGGACTCTTCGGCCGCTCTGCGGTGCCTGTCACCGATTGGCCGGTCATGATGACCTGCTTTGTTCCCTTCAGCCAATGCTGAAACAGAAAAATAATGAGACATAGTTTTAGATTATGTGCTGAGATGGTCATGTGGACAATGTGAATCTGCATGTGTCTTTCTGATCCCGTTCCTAAATCTTCTGCTCATAATTTCATGTCCTATTTTCCAAAACAGCCATCCCCATTTGGCTGATTAATATTAAAAGTCTTTGTTACACTTGGTTACATATCCAAAATCTGCCGAAAGAAGTTCTGTTCTTGTATCTCTAGACATTTTTATAACTAAATTGAGCAAATATTGTCTAAAATGTTTTATTTTAGTGTATATATTTTAACTAAATTGTATTACCCTACACCGTGCTATCTAGTTTTCTGTATTGGGATCAGCCATTGAAAAATCCATTTTCATATAGAGACCCACACGAGTACACAAATCACGAAGGTCAAACTACAGGTCACAACTCGAGGCACAAAAACAAATCACGAGATACAACCTCACACAGTAACGCACCAGCCTGCGATCTCTGGCTGAACCAAGCCATTAAATCCTGTATAAACCAATCTGGCTAAAAAAAAAAACACTCCATTAGAGAGAAAAACAGCCCCCCCACACAGCGGTATTTACAGCCTGTCTGCTCTGGGATCAGTTTCCCCCTCCCTCATTAAACATGTATGAGGGGCTAAATAAATAAACAAGACCTGATTGGCTGGTGAGAAGAAGGCTAAAGCGCTAAGTGCCGAGTCAAAGAGGCTGCGGACAGGGCGCTGGCAGCCAGAGAGGGTGAGCTGTTCCACCGCTCCATCAGAGACACCAAGACCAGCTGTGTCCCACCGGTAGGCCGAACTAATCTAGACTCAACCCAGCAGGAGTTCCAGACCCCTTCGCCTACTTGCTCAGGGTTCTAAGGCTCATATTAGCTGTGAAAATACAACACCAGAGGATTGGAGAGCTTAGATTAGCTTAAAAACCCAAACCTCTCGGTTGCCAAGGATGCCAGAGATGTGTCTGGGTTGAATGAGAATTTGTTCCGACTTGCAGCATGGGCTGGAGGGGTTAGGAAGGATGGCACACATCCCAGCACCCTGTGGCCTCTGTGTGAGTTTATCAGAGGCGATCTCGACCCCTCGGCACCTGGCTACAGGATGTCGGGGATGCACTGGAAGGTGAAGAGACGACGTGAGAACAGCCTCACAGCTGCAATCCACGTCCAAACTCTCAAACGCACTGTGGCAGGACTTGGGGGTGACTGCCATTTTAGATCTAGACTGACCCCAAAAAAAGAGTCACTAGAAGGGAAGGAAGAGAATAGCTGAAGAAAGCACTAAAAGGACTAAAACCATGGCAAGATGTTAACGAGAAAGGAGCCACGTTGTTTCCGCAAGCCTGCCGATGTGCTGACCACACTACGGTAACAAGGACACACTGCCTAAAAGCCATCACTCAAAACATAATGCAATTTAAAAGGCCCCTCTCTCTCTCTCCGAGCATGCTGGGTAAGTATATTCTGATATGAACAATGGGTGACTTTTTGTTTCAATGACAAACTGCCTTCTGCTCCTCACTGCTCTAATTCTTCAGGATAGCGGCTCGGGCATGGTGGTGAATGCCAATGAGAGGGTATGCTATGGCTTGTCTATGAATTACATTATTGATTGCCGATACTCTTTGAACAGAAAATGTAATTATGCAATGCAGCATGCCGGGCTTAGTCACTATCCTCCTGATATGTCACTCATGCTCTTTCTCTTTCCCTCAGTCACTGCCTCCCTCCCTTTGTCCCTGTCCATCCATCAGTGAAGCTGTCTCCCTCTCTCCAACACTCCAAAACTTACTTCCTGGGAGTAACTCAGAGAGACCTGGGATGCTCCTTCAGCCGCTCTGAGGAGTCAATACATCAGCAGCTGAGTCGACCTCTTCTAGAGGCTTCCTTTCTTCGTTTCTGTCTTTCAGAGATCTCTTCCAAACCTGTCTACGTTCCCATACCCAGTTCTGGCTGTTTACTCACATGGTCACTTGTTTCAAGAAGAGCCAATGTTTGTTTTTTGGCCTTTGGCCAATACCAGCTCCTACGTCACTCAACAAACACCTGCGCCTACACATCACTGTACCCCGGGCCTTCTTTTCTCTCCTCCAGATGTCTTCAACAATGGGAGCATGAATGCTTTAAACAATCAAATAATTGGGCAACAGCACCTTGTCGAATGTGACTCAACATTCAGTCAAAGAGAAGCACCATGTTTAAACCCAACAGCGTGTAGATACTTTCTAGCAAGAGAAATGGAGAGTTTAGAGAGTGGATGGGAAAAGGTCATTTGCACAAGTTGGACAAACATAACCTAACCCAAAATTATTGCTATGGCCAATCAGTGCTGATAAATCAGAATTAGAATGTACATGACCAGTCATGAGTCACTAGCAGTTCCATCAGCATGGCTTGCCTGTCCTGAGTGTGGTTAGCTAACTGTGCTGAGACATACATCCATAGAGTTGTTTGTAATCACACCATACTGAAACTACCGTAAATGCTACTGTGCTCAAGACCATTTGGCCAGATGGTGGAAAAAGACACTTCACAGATGACTTATCTTCTTGTGTGGGACTGTTTTCAGATGCGCAGTGCGCACATATGTAAATCAAGCTATATGAATTGGGACATACCATATACAGACGAACCCAAACTAGGGCTGGGCGATTTTTCAGATTTTATCGATTAATTCAAATATAATGTTTTGCCATGATTTTATTTTTTATAAATCGAGGAATCAAAATTTTGAATAGAAATATTACCAAATGTTAGAATTAGACACTTTGACAATATGCCAAATATAACAGTAAAGAGAAAAGAATGATCCGACCACATGTCGGCGAACGTGATGAACCGCTCACGTGTGATGCACTCATATCGCTAGGCGACATTCACACAGAATGCACTTTTGTGTTGACAAAGATGCGGGCAGTGGAATAGGAAAAAAATGCAAGAAGATGGGAGTGAACTTGTTTTAATTTGAGCGCCGCATTTTTAGAATGCCGTTTCACGTGTGAGACGCTGCAAAGGACGCGAGTGCAACAGTCAACCGCGTCCATGTTTACATAGACATAATAATGGAAAAGCAGCGCAATCAAATAAAAAACCTGTGAAGAACTACTAGCCTACTGTGCGTCTGACATTTCATGTTTGCATCATGGTGACAGGCTGAAAGCTGCTGTTGTTTTTACAGAACATTTATAGTTAATAATAGTCTACTGGTGTTATAGCTTCAGTCATTTTGAATTTGAATTACCTTGACTTTTGAGATTTTCTAAAAGCATTTTCCTCATATTGTTTCTGAACATATAATATGTATAAGACAAGTTTGTACAAGATGTAGTTGTATTTCATGCATCTTTTCTGCAAAGATATTTAACAACTGATTTGTTTAACATTTACATTATGTTAACTTCATGTGTGGTGCACGTGAAATATATATATATTTTTTAACTAGATGGTTAACAAAGAAAAAGTTACTTGAATCATGTTGTAGTTACATTTTTAAGTTGACTAGTTAAAATCGTAAAAAATCGAGAATCGGTCAAACTATTTATGAACTATTTTCCTTTTGAGTATCCCAAATGATTTTGCTCAGATTTTCCTTACTTCAAGAGGCATTTTCCAGCAATTTCATCCTGACAGTATGGTTTAGAAACACACACACATTCAGAGAGGAAGGCACTTACAAGAAAGGGAACATGTCCAGTGAAGTGCACACACTGACAAGTATGATAGAGCTTAGTCTCACACACACATTCTGATTGCTTCATTTCTGTGGTATATGGGGCAAGCTAAAAACAAAAAATGAGTTTGACACCCTCTGCCCCTGCTTTGGGTACTGAGATAGAGAAAACTCAGTCTCTTGCCCTGCTTTAAGAGCAGGAGAGGGGAACAGAGAGAGATAGAGAGAGAGAGAGAGAGAGAGAACGTTACCAAGAGATACCAAGAACGACCAACCACCAATGGAAAAACAACAACTCAAAGCCAGATTACAAACACACACCACACCAAGCACAGATGTCAACACACAAACTCGTACACACACACACACACACACACACACACACACAATCCCCTATCCTCCGGACCCTGTCGAAATCAATCAGCATCAATTCAACGCAATATGTACAAAGAGCCTTTGTACACACATACACACACACATGATCAAGAGAATGCATGAGGCTCGGTTAACATCACACACACACCAAAAGAATGTCATATTGTTCAAAAACAAGCAACATCGGCTTAAAGCACAATCTTTCAAAATCTAGAATCAACTGCGAGTCGATGGCAGTGTACGCTTGCCTTCTGTGATCAAATCTCCGGCGCCAGGGGTTCCATCTAGCCTGGCTCTTCTAAATGAATTCTGACGTAATTGATTTACATCCCTCTATTAGAGCTGCAGAGTTTTATGAGGAAGATATTGGGAGTTGACGTTTTTGTCAGGCTGTCTCCACAGAAACAACGACAGAATGAGGAGAGTTATGAGGGCTTCATTTTCAAACGCGGATTCCGGAACTCTCAATGAGACAAGTCTCGGAGGAGCCATGCAGTGTCGTCTAACTGCCACTTTGAGATTGCTTTTGCCGAGGACGGGCCAATCATCGCTTAATGAAAGTGTGTGTCAAAAAAGTTTATTTTGAATGAAACCTAGCTCTCTATGCTAACTACCATTGGTGATCAATAAAAGTTGTGCAGATAATTCAGAAATATTTAAATTTGAGACCTTAAAGGAAAGTAAGATGCACATGTTGTGGGTCATAGTTTAAAAAATGTATTAATGTAGAACGAAATGGCTACTATGGACACATTATTTGTCAATTAATTTAGGCTATGCAGAGGCTAGTATGTTAGAAAAGTGAATAATCACACTGGCGATAGCAGTATAAATCCTTGGAAAACTGACTAGATAATGAAAATATTAATAAAGTCCCATCCATTGTACCACCTTTAATAGTAATAACAGAGATTTGCTTGTGAAAGTATACTAGCTTTTAAGCTAACAAT